GACCATTGGCTTGGTAAATGTTCTTCCAGCCTTTCACTATCAGCCAGTTCTTATTTCTGTCCTGAGGTGGGGCTCCTGTACCCAGCAGATTGTTGGATATTCCTTTTTAATCCAGTTTGCCAATCAGTGTCTTTTAATTGGGGAATTTAGTCCATTAACATTCAGTGTTAGTATTGATAAATACATGGTGATCCCTGTCTTGTAGTTGTCTTTGTTGATTAAGGGTTTGATTGTGTGTAGCTGAATCAGTGTTACTCTTTACTTTCTTCCCTTTTCTTCTCCTGTGGTTTGGTACTGCCTGCCCTTTCATGGTTTTGTTTGCTTTCATTTTCTGTGTGCAGACTTCATTGGAGAATCTTTGTGGTGGTGGCTTGGTCCTTTATTGCTTTAGTTTCTGCTTATTGTGGAAGACTTTTATTGCTCCATCTAATTTGAATGATAGTTTTGCTGGGTAGAGTATCTTAGGTTTGAAGTTATTTTCATTCAGTACTTGGAAGACCTCACTCCATGCTTTTCTTGCTTTTAATATTTCTGTTGAGAAGTCTGCTGTGATTTTGATGGGTTTGCCTTTGTATGTTATTTGGTGTTTTTCTCTCCTACAGCCTTAAACATTTTTTCTCTAGTCTCTGTACTTGTTGCATTAATGATCATATGTCATGGGGTAGTTCTGTTTTGGTCAGGTCTGTTTGGTGTTCTGGAGACTTCCTGTACCTGAATGGGTATAGGTTTCTCCAGATTTGGGAAGTTTTCTGTTATTATTTTGTTGAATATATTAAGCATTCCTTTTGCTTGCACCTCTTCTTCTTGTTCAATGTCCATGATTATCAGGTTTGGTCTTTGGATGGAGTCAGTTAGTGCTTGCATTTTCTTTTCACAGGTCTTGAGTTGTTTAACTAATAATTCAGTTTTTCCTTTAATGCCATTTTATCTTCAAGTTCTGAGATTCTGTGTTCTGTTTGTTCTATTCTGCTGGAATGGCCTTCCAAAATGTTTTGTATTTTGTTTCATTCTTTTTTCTGAGGTTTTCAGTGTCATGGGTTACTTCCTCTTTAATATTGTCTATTTTTTGCCTTAATTTGTTTATCTCTCTGTTTAGGGTGGTCTCAGTTTCAGTTTGGTGTTTATTTAGTGCTTCTATGCTTTCATTTATTTGTTTTTGTGTTTTCTCATGTTTTTTATTTTTGTCCTCTTGGAATTTCTTTCTCCTGTACATTTTGGTTGACCATGTCTAGTAACATATCTTTGAAATTTTCATTAATTACTTATAGGATTTCTTCTTTCAGATTGTTCTTGTGGACTTTGTTGGGTTCCTTGGTATAGTTTATCTTTGTTTTGTTGGAGTCTGAATCTGGGTATCTATTCTCTGCATTTTGCTCTAAATATTGTAGTACTTTATTTTTTGGGGGAGAATAGTTTCCTTCCCTTTTTCTTCTCTTATTTCCACTAGGTAGCTTTTCTATTCCTGGATTATGTGTAATTTTGTATTAGCTGGGTAATAATATTAATACTAAGAAAACCAAGGAAGAAGGATAAAAGAGAAAGAGAGATGGAAATACAAAGGAATAGAGCAGAGAGGAAAAGAGAAAAAAAGTAGGTAGAGATGGTGGATGATCAAACAGCAAACCAGGCAGCAAATCGCTTAAAAAAGGAAAAAAAAAATATCACCAGTTCTGGAACAGTAGAATTGCAGTCTTAGTTTTTCTGATGCTGGTTTTTTAGCATCCAGACCTGTCTGTGTGTGTCTCTTAGATAGGTTTGGAGCCTTCCTGTGGCAAGTGGCTGGTGAGTGGGGTCCCATGGGCCTATGGGTGAAGGCCTTTAGCTGAGGTGAAGTAGCGGGCCTTTGGAGCATAGGCTTGGCATACCTGAAGGATGCAGGCCAGTGGTGTGGAGATCCTGCGTGTCTGTGGATTCCCAGCTTGACAGGCTTGGGGGGTGTGATCCAGCAGAACAGATATCGTGTGTGTGGGTCCCTGGTTTGGCAGGCCTTAGGGGCACAGGCCTGTGGAGTGAATATTATGCAGGGCTGTGCAGGCCTTGGGGGCGTGGCCCAGCAGAATGGAGATTGTGCATGTTTGTATCTCTGGCACAGCAGGCCTTGGCCTGGCCCAGCAGAGCAGAGATCATGCAGGGTTGTGCAAGTCTTGGGTGTGTGGCCCAGAAGAGATCATGCAGGGCTCTGCAGGTCTGGGAGGGCGTGGCCTGGTGGAGATAATAAATGTCTGTGGATCCCTGGCCTTAAGGGCTCATCCCATGGAGATCCTGCTGTTCTGAGGGGTGGGAGTTTCGGGTAGCACAGCCCTGGTGGGGCAAAGGAGCAGGGCCAGAGAATTGGAGATCCCAGAGTGTGTGGAGCAGCAGCTCCATGAACGTATGGGGCGAGGCTTAGAGTGCAGCACATACTATTCTTTTAGTATATGGTGCCATGGAGAGGCCTTCCACAAGCTAGGGGTTCAGAGTGCTGATGTTTCAGCTCTCCCTTGTACTTTACCTCAATCAATCATGTCTCCAGCTTCTTTCAAAGACCCTGGATCATGGAGGTCAGAAGGCCTGTGGCTGTGTTCCAGTCACCATCTTGGATCCACTTATTTTATTTAATTTGATACAGCACCCTTATATTATTATGTACCAAAGGAAAATTTTTTCCCTTCAACTGCCTAGGTTTTTCAGACAGGGCTCTGCAAAGTAGGTTGACAAAAATAGGATGCATATACAAAAGTAATAGAAGATCATTTAATTTTGGTGTTATGGGACTTGGAAACTGTGAGACACTGAGTTCACACACTAATACTGCAAAATACTCTTTTTGTTCACACATATTCACAGAAACACTCAGGAATTATCTAGTCAAATAGATGACTGAAATTTAGGATTGTAACCAGCATGGTGGTTCATACTTGTAATGCCATCACTTGGCAGGAGGATTATGACTTTTAGGTCAGCTCTATTGTGACACCCTCTCTTAAAAATACCAGGAAAAAACAAAGAGTTTTAATAAAAATGAAGAAAATTAAAAATGACTGCACCAAATATCTTTATTCTTCTAGCAGTAGTGGCAAGTTCAGGGAAGAAGTTCTATGTAGAGACTGAGTCCTTAAAAACTGGTCTTAGCACACTTGACAGTGTAGATCATGCTATTGAATCATTTGACTGAAAAATGCCCAGATTTATCTACAGGCATTTAGTCCTCTTGCTATTCCAGAAGAAATATGAGAACAAAATCTTAACAAGTTTGTGTGTTGGTTTTAGACAAATAGAGGGATGGTAGAAAAAATTTTATATCCATTTCTTCTTAACTACTCTTAGTTCAATTATTCCTTATGTCAAATGGACATATTTTTGCCTGACATATTCTATTACTCTTCAGTAGTTTCTATCAACATTCCCATTTTACAAATGAGAAAATTTCTCATGTGTTTTCAACATTATTCTCTGTGTCTTCCTTTTGCATTTTTCTCCAACTCAAGCCAACTTTTAAAATTGTAGTTATTAATTTTACATATCAATGAAAAATATATTAGTGAAAATAAAAATATGACATCATATTTTCCTTTTCAAGAGAAATGGTGATTTGAAGTGCCTAAATAACTGAATTCCTGGAAATGTAACCCTCCAATGAGAAAGGTTTGCATTGAAAAGGTCTGAAGCTCTCATAGAAAGGTCAAATGAAGGTTGCAGAACTGGCACTGGCTTTGGGGCCACACTGATTCTACATTACTGAGGTGTACACGAGAGGGTTGTACTTGATGTAAAACCAACCCTCCATAAATGTTTAGGGTAAGTGATACATTTAGGTAGTTTTTACCATTCATTGCAAAGAACAAAAGTAGAAAAACAAAACATGAAGTCAACCTCCAATATTCCCTTGAGATTGTTTATGATCTATCCAAAATATCACTGCAGTAGCACTTGAAAAGACATTTACTAGATTTAGTAAATTTTAGTAGGCACTAACCTTCAAAGATGTTGATCTGCCATACAATACATGACAAAAAGCTGTGAAATATTTGGAACATAACAATTCTATTTGATTATCAATATTTGACATAAATTCACAATCCAACTAGTGCAGAACTTTTAAGGAAGGAATTCACAATAAAAATCCAGGAAATTTCTTGATTCTTGTTCTTAAATTGAAACAATTATTTTTTTCTTCAGAAGAGATGAAAAGTAGTTATGTGTTTCCTTCAATGGTAGAGAGCGTATATTTTACTGTGTTTAAGAATTTGCTATCTCAAAATGTCTTTGTTTCTCTAATATTCCTTGACCTAGAGTTTCTAGAATGGATGGATGCAGAAACAAGTAAATGGCAGAGAATCCCATGAAGAAAGAGTAACAAAAGTTTTCCACAAATGAGATATATAGAAAAAGCACATGATCCTCACAAAATTCTGCTTAATGTTACTGTAATGAAATACCCGAGACAGAAAAATTTTATTTAATAAAGTGGTTTACTTAGCTCTCAACTGTGGAGTCCTCAAATTGTAACAACATATCACTGGATATGACAAGGGACACATGGTAGATGGCAGTAGGGAGGAAATGACTGACATCTTGGAAGAGGAAGTCATAGAGGTTGTGGTTCCACAATCTTTTCAAAGGGTGCACCTTCACTGACTTGCCACTAGACAATTTTCTCTCTCCCTCCCTGTCTTCCTTTCTTCCTAATCCCTGCTTTCATCTTTTCCTTTTATTTCTTGCTTGAAGTACTGAGGACAGAACACAGGGTGATGAGTATCTAGTGGTTTTCCACTGAGCTACACCTCAGCCAGGACTCCATTTCTAAAACTACCCATTCCTTTGAATTGACTGTAAAGCTCCCTACTCATGGATCTTGGAGAACATATTTAAATGTCATATTTAAATGACATTTAAAGTAGCAAATAAAGTCTGCTACTTTATTTGAGGTGCCTGAGTCCAAAGTAGAAACATGTAGCTGTTTGCTTCTATGCTGTTTCATTTATTCCTACAAACTTGTTTTCAGAAGGTGTCCTAGCTACATGAAGCCAGTGAATTTAACCAGGACCTTGGATTTCCAACTCCTGGGATTCTCTGATGATTCAGAACTGCAGCTTTTCTTTTTTGGGCTATTCTTGACAATGCATGTTGTCACAGTGCTTGGAAATCTGCTCATCATTCTGGCTGTCTGCTCAGACTCACACCTCCACACCCCCATGTTCTTCTTTCTCTCCACACTTTCATTGGCTGACATTGGCTTCAGTAGCACTACAATCCCCAAAATGCTGGTGAACATCCAGATAAACAGGAAATCCATCACCTCTGTAGGATGCTTAACTCAGGTGTTCTTTTTTTTTTTCCTTTTTGGATATTTGGAGTCTCTATTGTTGTCTATAATGGCCTTTGCCTGTTTAGTGGCTATTGGTCAACCTTTAAACTACTCTATCATCATGAGCCCCTGCATATGTAGTTTGTTAATACTGGTATCATTTTCCATTAGTGTTTTGGACTCCCTGGTACACTGCTTGATGGTGATAAGAACTGCCCCTTGCCACCATTCTGCAGCCTGAGCTGCAGCTGGTTTCGTCCCTTGCAGAACAAAGCCCACTGTTCCTTATCTCTGCCACCTTCCTTTGCCTGCTCCTAGACCTTGCTTCAGCAGCTGGTGTCATCCTTTGCAGAACAAAGCCTCACTGTCCCTTATCTCCTGCCACCTCTCTTTGTCCATCCCTAGCCCTTGCTTACTTAAGGCCAGACCCACTGAAAGAAGCTGCTGCACCATTTTTTTCTTCTCAGCCAGTCAGCCTGCTTATTTAACTTTTGGACATGAGCTACCTCTCGTGTCCGGTGTGTGGCACTTTCCTAACAGATGGTATCACAACTTACTTTCTGTACATATGTAGAAATTCTTAATTTCTTTTGTTATCCTCCTCAACTCCTTAAGATTTCCTGTGATTATAACTCAACAAATAACATATTAATATATGTTATTGGTGCTGTCTTTAGTTGTGTGCCAGTATCAGGGATTCTTTACTCTTATATAAGAATTATTTCCTCTGTTTTGAGAGTCCCATCAATCAGTGGGAAATACAAAGCCTTCTGTACCTGTGACTCTCACCTCTCAGTTGTGTACTTATTTTATGAAACTGGCCTGGGGGCATACTTTAGTTCTGCCATTTTACATGCCCCCAGGGAGGTTTTGATAGCCTCAGTGATGTATACCATGGTCACACCTATGCTCAACCCCTTTGTCTACAGTTTGAGGAACAGGTATATCAAGAGAGCCCTTGGGAGGCTTCTTAGCAAATCTAAGATCCGTCAATTTTAAAACCACAAAACCGAATATCTGGAATTATAAAGCATTCTTTTTGGCCACATAAGTTTTGTAGCTCTTAACAGATTTTATAACTGTTCATGCTTCATATCTGAATATTGGTACATTTAGTCTTGCTACAGTTTCAATCTTGAATATTCCTCAAAGTCTACAGTCTGTACCGCTATTGGGTAATGGTGGAACTGTTAAATAGTGGGACTTTCTTGGAGGAGGTTGGGTCATTGGTGGAATGCCCGCAAAAGGCATTGTGAGGATGTGGTTTCTTCCTCTTTATCCTTTTGATTTCCAACAACAAGGAGGTAGTTGGTGCCCAAGATGTATGCTAAAACATGGAGATGTGATTTGTCCTACCCAAAACAGGAAAGATAGGTGGCAATGGTGAATTTTAGGACCTCCTGTAGTTAGACCTGCCTTTCATTTTCCTGTCCCTCTAACATGCAAGAATCTTTGAAGCTTCTTAAGATCTCAAAGGCTAAAGCAGATGCAGATAGACTCTTAAGGTCTCCTGTTCTCATAACTTAACATCTGAAAGGAGATGGGAGGAGGAATATCTGCTGTGGCTTTTCAGTTTTTACTTCCTTTCCAGTGTTTGAGTCTAACCCTTTAATATTTGTTTAAAATAATAAATGTTAAAAGTAATAAATATATCTCCTCATCCATATATCCTGCTTCACACCTCTAGGTGAAATCTGAAGGAACAGCACATTAATTTTCAATGGGCAGGTAGTGGTAGGGGAAGCCACAACTCTGATTTGGCCTTTTTACTCTTTTTGACATTCTTCCAATAGGGGGCTATAAAAGTTACCATGCCCTCATGAGTCCAATAGTTTCCTTCTACCTGTTCATGAAAGGTATGTTTGCTACTGTTTGGAGTCATGATTCTGTTTTAATTTAATTTTTGGTCATGCCTTCTATCTTTCAATAACTACTTATCCAATTATCCTTAATAAACTATGCTTACTATTAGTATGCTTTTTCTATTCTTGATCAATACTCTGACTATAAGTAGTAACGTGAAGAATAAAGGTACTTTGTGAGATTCTAAAACTGGAAGATTGCAAAATATGCTCAGCCAACAAGAGGTTATAATGGTATCTCTCAGTTGAGGATGTATAATTGAAGTTGGTGTTATTCTAATTTTAATTACTATGTGGCTGTGATATCCCTGTGGATGATTAAGTCAATTAATTATGAAGAATTAAGCATTATTGCCTTTTTCATTTCTCAAAGACAGCAAAAGGTTATGTCCTTCTGTAATAGCAGCTCTTTATTTTCAATCATAACAGCTCATTAGAATTTCACTGTGTAACTCCATTTCCCTGTCATTTGTCATGATCAGTCTTTCATGTAGTTGAAACCCACGTAGCCACACCTATTTTAGAGATGTTCCATATCAGGTCTGAGGCAGTATTCTTGACTCTCTTAATCTATTAATAGTCATCTATTAATAACTATAATTCATTTGTTATTTTACCAATTAAGCTAAATCTCTTCCCAACTCAACAGTCTACAAATTTTAATAATCAAAATGTGCTTTAACCTGTATGCTTAGGTTAAGGACTTAGGTTAAGTTAAGGACTCTTTGTAAAGGAGTTCTTAAACAATTTAAGGGGACTTCACATCTTTACCCTTAACATGTACTTGACTTGCAACAGGGATATGTCCCAATGAAATCATTCTATGTTGAAAATATTGAAATTTTAAAAATATATTTATTATGCATAACTAGTGAATATAATACAAGATAGAGTATGGGTTGTTTATGCTGTGTTCACAAGGCTGACTAAGACTTGCTGCACACTTCCCCTCTTCAACATCTAAAAAGTATTATGCAACATATTTCTATCCTTGGAAAAGATCAAACTTTAAAATTTAATATACAATTTGTGCTGAATGCATATTGTCTGTATACAACCATAGAGATGAAAAATTGCAAGTAGAAAAATAAAATATCTGGAACTATTTGCATATACAAAATTTATTACAATATGGGCAGAACATAGGCAAAACCTTACTTACTTGAATATTGAATAAAATATTCAATATTAAACTTCAAAAAGAGTTTTATTCCAAGTGCTTTGTATTTTTTTTCTTCTTTAGAAACTCCTAACAGAATACATGTAGAATTCATGTTTCTTGTAGCAGAATTTACAATAGCCAAGTTATGGAATCTGCCTAAATGCTCTACAGTGAGTTAATGAATTAGAAAATTATGGTATTTATGCCATTTGCAATGGAGTAATACTCAGCCATAAAAATAGAATTATGTCATGTGAATGAAAATGGGTGCAATCAGAAGTCATCATGTTAAGTAAAATAAGCCAGGTTCACAAAAAAAAATCACGTTTTCTCTCACATGCAGAATTTATACCTAAAAATCAAACAAAGACATGAGCAATGTGTGGACTATTGGGTGAGGAATCATTGGAAGGGGAAGAGGGAACAGGAAAGTACATTGGGTACATATATGAAAATGTGAAAATGAAAATTTTATTTTGTTAAAAATCAATAGATTTAAGTACAATAAAAGAGAAATACATAGATTGTTCCTGCTAACATGAATGATCAATAGGATGGATTTATGTCACTTTAATGGTATGTGCAAAAGGTCACAAAATAGAAGGTGGAGTTAAAAATTCTTCAAATAACAAAGGGACAAAAAAACTGTATGTAATGGCATATGCCTGTAATTCCAACTACTCAGAAGGCTGAAACTGGATGATCATGTTTTGAGATCAGCCAATCAAAGTTAGACTGAGACCCTATCAGAAATGCAAACTGAAAGGACTGGGATGTGCTTCAAGTGTAGAGCAGTTGAAGGCTTATGTTTAGTCTTCATTGTCACAATTAATTAATTATGTAAAACAATGGGTCAAACAACAAAAAAATTCTCAATTTTTTAATTGAGAAACTGAATACAAGAAGGTGGTTATCAAAACAAATTGCTCACAAACACAATTAAGTTTGATTTTCAAAAGCCATGTTCTCTAGACATGGTTTGGAAGTAATACAGTATCAGTTACTCTCTTCATAACACTAATGGCTTTGTTTCAATATTTCATTTTTCCTATATATGTGCCAAATATCTGAATCCTTCCCCTCTTCTTCTCTAATCTTCATCTACTTATCTGTCATTCCCAAAATTTTCTCTGCCATTTATGCTCATACATATCCCTTTCTTTCTTCCATATCCATGTCCATTGGGATCCATGTTTTCTTTATGTCATTGAATGAGAAATCAATTAGTGAGTTCCTCATATGGAGAGCTTCAAGCGAGTAGGGCTATAAAAGTAACATGTAGAATCAACTTTGGAGTTAATAATGAAAGACAGGACTGTAAAATAGGTACAGTGTATATGAGGGTTCTTGTGAGAGTGGGAGAGTGAATGGAGGAGATGTCAATGTGAAGTAATATAGTTGATTGGCTTCACATATATACATATGAAAATATATTTCATATATATACATATATATATGTATATGAAATGGAATGATGAAACCTCTTTCAATTGCTTTAGGTGAAATGAGAAGGGGGTTGTGGTCAGGGAGATGGTGGGGGCAGTCTAACCAATGTACAATGACAATTGAGAATTGTCACAATGAATCCCACCTGCACAAAGAATATATTGTAATAAAATGGGAAAAACCAATAGAACATAATTCCTATGTCATCAATTTTGTCAACTATATGAGCACAAAGCACATTTTTTAAGGACTTGAGGAGTTCACACATAAAGATTATAAAGAAAATATAGTTTAAGAGAAACGAACACTTCGGTCAAGCAGAAGCCTCCATGGACACTTGTTGAATCCTGGCATGAGGTGACTGGCTTCTCCTGATGTTGCTGGAGAAAATCTGCTCATGGAAGAGGAACCAGAGGGACTTTTGAGGGCATGTCAGGAGGAGCATGGAGGTGTCTACAACATACCCAGACAGGGCAAATTGTTCCATATGGGAGCTGCTCTCCAAAGGAGATTGGTTAAAAAATGCTGGTGTGAAGGTTTCAAGACAGCTAGAAAATAGGATATCTTTTTAGAAACCTGCAAAAAATAAAATTTCATTTTTCTTTATGGCTGAAAAAATATGACGTCTTCTTTGCTTATCAGTTGTAGGGCATCTGAGCTTGGCTATTGTGAATAATGCTGCCATAAACATGAGAATGTAAGTGTTTACTACATCCTTACTTATACTCCTTCAGATACATGCCCAGATGTGGTACTGATGGATCATATGGTAGTTTTATTTTTAGTGTTTTGAGGACCCTCCACACTACTTTCCATAGCAGTTGTACTAATTTTCCTTTTTACCATCAGTGTATAAGGGTTCCATTGTCCCCATATACTTGCCAACACTTGCTGTTAATTTTGTTCATGGAAAGCTTTTCTAACAAGAGAGAGGTAGAATTTTAATGTGGTTTCAATTTGCATTTTCTTTTTTCCTCTAGTTATTTTTTCCTTTATTGTTGTGCTAGGTGGGGAGTATATTGTGATATTTACAAAGATTCTTAAAATGGCTGGGGATGTAGAACACTTCTTGTGTTTTTTTTTTTTTTGGTCATTTGTACTTCTTCCTTTGAAAAGTTTTTTTCAGTTCATATCTCCATTTCTTAGTTGGGCCATTGATTCTCTGTGAGATCCATTTTTGAGCTCCTTATAACTCTGGTTATTAATCCTATCTCATATGCATAACTGGAAATGATTTTCTCCCATCTCTGGGCTTCCTCTTCAGTCTGGTGACTGTTACTTTTGCTGTGCAAAAGCTTTTTAGTTTCATGTAGTCCTATGTCTAAATCCTTTCTCTTAATTGCTGAACTATTGCAGTTCTATTTAGGAAGTTATTTTCTATGCCTATTAATTCCAGAGTACTCCCTACTGTTTCTTGTGGTAGTGTCAATGTTTGGGGCTCTATATTAAGATCTTTGATCCACATTTAATTTATATTTGTGCAAGGTGAAAGACATAAGTGTAGACTCAGACTTCTACATGTAGATATC